CCCGCTCTGTCTCTGGTGAAGCCTCTCACCCTCCGCATCTCTGGCCTGTACCCCAGTTCTGTACGAATAAATAAATAAATCTTTAAAAAAAAATACAAAAGCAAGGAAACCCCTTGTTCAAGCACATGCCAGCATTAGTATAATATTTACTGCAGATACACTATTATAACTACATATATATACAAAACATGTAGACACACAGCTAATTAGCATCACTTTTTTAGGAAGAGCTGGTGAGAACCAGGGCAGAGGTTCAGGCCCAGGGTGCCCAGGGACATGGCCTGGGGAGATGAACCCCACAGCTGCGGGCTGGGCTATGCACTGGACTGGACACGGGGGGCCACCTCCCAGCCAGGGCGACACAGCAGCCCCAGGACCTCCATGAGCCCTGTCTGTACCTTCACTCTTCAGACTACCCGGTGATTGAAAATGGCCAGCTGGAGTGTCCCCAGGGCTACAAGAGACTGAATCTCACTCACTGCCAAGGTAAGGATGAGTGGGGCCCAGGTTGGCTTGGGGACGGGACATGACAGAAGCCCAGTGATGCCAGGGACGCCCCCTCCCACTCAGATGGGAGGTGCCGCTACAGGTACCTGAGTGGTCTCTGCTGGGCACTGCTAAAGCCCAGTTTGGGGGACTGTGGGGGCCACTGGTTCCCCCTAAGCAAGTCGGGATCTAGTTCAGGGAGTGAGGAGAGCTGGCAGCTAGGGAGAGCGGCATTCCACCCAGGGACAGCCGAAGCGAAGCAAAGGAGCAGATGCACGAGTGCAGCCTGGGCACACACACGGGGGGGGCAGCACAGACCCCCCCAGGGCCCTGCCAGAGCTGCCTGCTCACCTTGGAGGATAGGTGGAGAGCCTGCAGTACCCTGAGGGTTGAGCGGCTCCCTCTAAGAGGGGCTGGGAGCCCACAGGCAGGCCGGATTATGGTTAGACAGCACTCTGACCGCAAGCTAGAGACGGCCAGTCCCAAGCATCACCCTCCCGGTAGAGTATCCTGCCAAGGGGTGGCTGAGTCATCCCTCGCCCTTCGTTCCTGAGCTCAGTGCCAACTTCCCCAATGCCCTGAGGGGGCGGGTGGCTCTGATGGCTGGGCTGCCGTGTGCGGTCTCTGGCCCGGAGGCGGACCCCTCAGGAATCTCACCACCGTCCTCAAAGGCATCCGCGCCAAGAGGGCGCCCTGATTTCTTGCAGCTTAGAGAGTGGGGTTGGGATGTCCCCCCTGGCAGAGGCAGCTTCCAGCGTGAATTGTTTCTGAGATGACAAAGGAAGCTAATGTCACACCTGGGCTTGTGCTACACAAGCATTCCCCAGGCCTGGGGTGGGTGGCCAGCCTGCAGACGCACCCTCCTTACCCTCTGCCCCCCAGTTCCCGCATCCAGCCTCCACCCTCCTCTTCCTAGTGAGGGTCCTTCCGTCCTGCAGCTCAGAGCAACAATGTTCCCTAGGCCTTGGGTCCTGCAGAGATGCTTCTGGGTCTCTAGAAGAGGGTTGACTTGGAGAGACTGGGCAGCTAGTCTCATGAGAATGAGCTGTCCGCTGTCTGCTTCCCATGTGCCCCCAAGTTGCTACTAGCTAAGTGACCCTGGGAAGTAACTCCTGGAGCCTCAGTTTCTTCACCTGTGAAATAAGGACACATACGATTATTTGTGAGGAGTAAATGAGGTACTTTAGGTAAAGCACCTGGCACAGTACCTGCCTGTTGTAGGCATGCAGTAAACATTAACTCTTAACATTATGCTCTTATTACCTACCAGTTATCAGACCAAATAATTTGCAGCTTTTATCTCATATCCACCTGATAAGACTATTAGTAGTTACTATCATTGTTTGCACTTTACAAATGAGGAAAGTGAGGCACAGAGGGCTCGCACTCAGTCAATGGCAGCTCTCTCGTTCCCACTTTACATGGGGACTGACTTGCGGCCCTCCCCTGCGTCAGGCCTGGCCGGGGCAGGCGCTTGCTTACCTCTTCTAACCCTGCAGACATCAACGAGTGCTCAGCCCTGGGCCTGTGCAAGGACTCGGAGTGTGTGAACACCAGGGGCAGCTACCTGTGCACCTGCAGGCCTGGCCTCATGCTGGATCCCTCGAGGAGTCGCTGTGTGTGTGAGTGCTGGCAGGGACCGGGGTAGGGGATATTGGGAGGCCCCTTGGGACCTTTCCCCAGCCCCCATCACCTCATGCCCAAGGCCCAGAGTCTGCTGCTCAGCCTGGAGTCAGGCCCGATGTACAAAAATAGCCCCTTTCTCCTAGAAAGGAAATGGTAACCTCCTCACTTTCAGCTCTAGGCACTTATTTGGGGGCTTTGCAGTTTGGAATTAACATTTTCTGCTTTGTCTTTTCTCTGGTCATTTCTGTCACCTCGGTTGCCTTTTTTACTTTGGGAGTGGGTGCACAGCTTTTGTTCTAACGTCTGGCAGAGCTGCGAACCCCGGCTGCCTCTTTCTGTGCCTCAGCATAGCAGCCCGGTCACTTACTGAAGACCTTTCTTAAAGGACGTGTCCTTAGCATTAATAGCATGGCTGCTTGTGCCCACGGCCTTTCCACATCCTGTGAACCCCTTTCCATGTCTCTGTGTCCTTGAATACACACATCTCCTGGATAGTGCCAGCACCCTGTTCCTGCAAGACCAGGCAGCTGTCTCCAGTGACCTCTGCAGTTTCTAACTGGGAAAGGACCAGGCTGTCCGCCGCCCTCCCCCAGCCTCCAAACACACACAGGAGGCAGAGCTGATGCCACAGCCCAGATGGGGATTTCTTTGGGCAGGACAGCCTGACCTGAGCAAATAAAACCAGTCCTTACCAGCTTCTGTGAAATGGCAACCCGGGTCTGGGCAGCCTCTCCCAGCATAGCAGAGGGCGCCGTCACCTGCCAAGCCCTAGTCTGCAAACTGCCAGGTAGTGAGCTGGGGAGATCCAGCACCCCCCCTCCCCGAGGGAGCACCCTATATGAAAGGAGAGAGGAGATTGGATCCCAGCCATTCTTGAGAAGACTTTGTGGTGACAGATATGCCATCAAGGCCTTGAGGGGCACAAAGCCACCTCCTCCCTCCTAACCCTCCATTTAAGTTTCCTCTGTCAGGCAGATGTTAAACATCCAAGATGGCTCGCATTTATTAATGGCAGAAAGAACCCCTTAATCCAGGGAAGCGGAGTGGCCCTTGAGAGTCTAAGTTTTTCCTTGCTCTCTAGTATCCCCCTCGGCCTCCTCCAATGACTCACCTCCCCGTAGGTGAGAGAAGACAGAGAATTTCTTTCCCCTTCCTTCTTAGTTCTGCCCTCCCTGCCACCTGACCCAGGTCAGTGGAACAGTGTCAGAGGTGGGTCAGCCTCCAGCATCCCCAACTGGATCCCCTCCACCCCAGGGAATCAAAGGGTCAAAGGGACAGGCTCTTCCTTACAGTGTCCCAAGACAAGAGGCTGCTGGAGGCAGAGGTTGCCTGGAAGACCCAGGCTGTGGACTGACGGACGATTTCCCTGAATAGCAAGTCTTTAGACCAGGCACTACCACTTACATTGCTCTAAACAAAGGTCTATCAGTCAGGAGTCTTTGCATTCCAAGTGGCAGAAATCCAACTCACACTGTCTTAAGCCATGATAATTCATTGGCCCATACACCTAGGAAGTCCAGTCCAAAGGGAGCAGGCCTCAGGCGTGGCTGGATCCAGGTGCCCACAGGGTCTTTAGGATGTCTCTTCTCTTCCCTCTGTGTTGATGTCATAGATGACTCCCAGACACTGTAGGCCCATCAGAGTCCCTGTCTCACAAACTCAATATAAAATACAAAAAAAAAAAAAAATCAAAAGGACTTCTAATAATCCAGAGGAAATCCCAAGCTGAGCGTCACCACTGGGCTTCCCTGTTCACGTGCCCATCCTGACCCAATCTCTGCCGCCCGGGGTATGGGCTCACACTCCTTCAGTCAGGGAATGGGAGCAATCTGCACCCCATCCACATGGGCCAAGAATGGGAAGGGGTGATCTCATGGGAGAACCAAGGTGCTAATAACAAATGTGGAGCCAAAAGTGCTGAGCGGGCAGAAGTAGACGCGTCTACCCCTGTGGGATTGTTGTCATCCTTATTTTACACAGAAGGTGTGAAAACCCAGGGAGGTCGTGTAACCTGTGGAGGAACTGGGATTTGAATTTGGTCTGCTGAGTCCTGGGTCCTGCCCCAGGACTTCCCCAGAGTCACCCGTTCCTCAGCTTTGAGTGTTGGGTCCTCTTCACCCACCTCTGGCCTTCCAAGGGGTCCGGCCTCTTCTGACTCAGCACGACTTCTTCATCTTCCCTTGAGCTAATTTACTAGAAAATAGTTCACTATCAAAGTAGAAGGGGACAACAGAGTGGGGTTGTTGTTGTCTAAACTCACATCTCACAGTCCCTGTAGACCACAGGATTTGGGCCCACGGCTCTAGCCGCCCACCCGCCAGCCAGCGGTCCTGACAGAGCAGCCGCAGGGCAACACCGCAGAGTGCTCAGGTTACAGAGTCGCCCACAACTGTCCTCAAAGTTCCTATCAGGACTTTGGTTCTCAAGGACCCTGTGGCCCTCGGGGCACACTGCTCCCACTCAACTCCAGGCCCACTTCGGGTTCTAGGGAAACACATGTAAACCGAGAATCTGCAGACAAGCAGGCACATCTCCACTGCCTGCGCTCAGCTCCGCCTGCGAGGGTGGGCGTTACCTCCAGCCAGTGACATGAGAAGGTGCTGAACACCCACCCTGCCGTTCCTCCTCCTAAAGCTTCGTGAATGCTTGCAGGGCCCCCGGGCCCCCAGACTGAGCCCTGGGCCAGGCCAGTCTGAGTGCACACAGAGAGTGGCTCCAGCCCCTATGGTCCACCCCCCAGAGCTCTCCCCTCACGTTGCCACCTGCCCACCCCCCCTGCCATGTCTGTTGCAGCCGACAAAGCCGTCTCCATGCAGCAGGGGTTCTGCTACCGGTCGCTGGGGCCTGGCACCTGCACCCTGCCTTTGGCCCAGCGGATCACCAAGCAGATATGCTGCTGCAGCCGAGTGGGCAAAGCATGGGGCAGCAAGTGTGAGAAATGCCCCCTGCCTGGCACAGGTAACCTTCTGCCCCCATCTCAACTTTGGCCACCAAGGGGCATCCTCTAAGCCAGTGGCCCCTCCCCTACCTGGGTGAAGCTCCCTCAAGCTAGAAGACCCTTAGTCTTTCCCTTTGCTCAGCTCCTTACAACGTGGAGTTCCCCTTCTCCTTCCTGCCTTGACACCCCCACCCAAAGGGCAGGACAGGGTGGGGTCGGGGGCTGGGGACCTGCAGGAACTGCACCCCTTAGCTTGTCCTGTTTCTGGGCCTTGCAGAAGCCTTCAGGGAGATCTGCCCTGCTGGCCACGGCTACACCTACTCCAGCTCAGACATCCGCCTGTCCATGAGGAAAGCGGAGGAGGAGGAACTCGCCAGGCCCTCGAAGGAGCAAGGGCAGAAGAGCAATAGGACCCTGCTCAGGCCTGCTGAGAGGCAGCCACTCCGGGTGGTCACCGACACTTGGCAGGAGGCTGGAGCCACCCCTGATAAGGGTATCTCGCCTGGGGTAGACGCCTGAGGGGCGCGCCCCGCTATGTTACAGTGCCTCAAAGAGCTGGGTACATTAGGAAAGGGAGTTGAAGCAGCAGCATCCAGCCCTGGGAACGTGTGCTCATGGCCTGGGATGACCTCTCCTGTTGGGAGCAAGAGGCCCCCAGCCAGGGAATTATGGGGGTGAGAGGGGTCATTAGCATTCCAGTTGGTCAGGCCTTTCTAGCCTCTGCCCTGAGCCATGCAGTTTCTGCTCTGGTACTGGTCACGAGACCTGAAGAGCTGGTGGATCCCTTCCCATAGCCTTAGAGTCAGATCCTAACTCCAGTTCACCAGTCTTGGGCCCCAGAGGCATGGAGCTGGGAGGGGACTGGACCTGAGGCCCTGGACATTGCCCTGGGAAGCCAGCAGAAGCCTGTCCAGGTTGCTGGCAACACTGAGTACAGGAGTCCAAGAACATATTCGGACCAGTGAACTATGTGATAACTGTCCATCTAAACAGACAGAGAAGGCAGACCAAAGCCCCAGATGTCATGGAAACTACGCATTAGCCAAGCCAGGAGCACCTCCTCTCCTTTTAAAGTTGTGCTCCTGGCCTGTGGGGATGGAGCAACCCAGTGTTGGTGGGAGGCTTAAGGGGGAGGTGATAGGGCAAGGAGAGGGGTGACAGCTGGGACCAGGGTGGAGGGGTGGTCTCCCATTGCTGTGGTCTTAAAGGATAATGGGAGGTTTCCTCTTACCAGCCCTGAGGGTCTATGGTTACCCATCCCAGCAGGGCAGGAGGGTGATGCAGGCAAGAAGAGTCAGAGCTCTCTCCTGCTTGGCACGAGGTCAGGAGGTTGCTGACAGGCGGAACCAGTCCCGGCCATGGGTGGAAGGGAGAAATCCATCAGACTCTTGAGCTAATGTTCTCACCTTCCCTTCCCAGGGGACTCTCAGGCTGGCCAGGTGAGTGAGTCCTCCACCAGGGAGTTGGGAAATGTGGCAGGGAGAAGACCTGGGAGCCACTGGGACTTTAGGACAATGTCCTGGGAGGGAGGGAAGAGAGAAACGTGGTCCTACGTAAGGTTTTACTTGGTGAATGCCAAAGCCCCAGTTTTACCCAAAAGGGAGTAATAACAACAGTTTTTGGAGCAGCTATGATGCAAGTACCCTTTGGTGGGGGATGGTCTGAGGGCCCTGGAAAGTAGGTAGGAACACAACCTGTTAATCCTGGCTGTCACTCAAGCTATAAGATCTGCGGTTGAGGCCTAAAATCGGTTCCAGATTCATTCTGGGTTCAGCACTGTCTGCACTATTTGCCTAAGTCTCAAGGGCTCCTCTGTGTGTGGCTCACAGGGAAGTTGAGGCACACCTGTGAGTAGCCTCAAAGCGTTTCACTGAGTAGGGATCCACTCCCATCCCTGTACCCAGGGTCCTCCTATAAATAACTAAGTGTCCACCAGAAGAGTGGACCTGCTTCTTTTCTTGCTGGTCTACCCTCCCTACTGAGTCCCTGTTCCTCAACCCAGCATACCAAGTGGTCCCCAAACACTATTTTCTGAGTGAAACTGTTCTGTCCCTCCAAGTGTTGCCCTCCAAGACCACATCCTCTGCCCCCTCCTCTCTTCCTGGTTCTCACTACATATCTCCTCTGTGGGCCATGGGAGGGAAACCAGATGTGACCTTGGGTCCTAACTGCCCAGTGATCCAAGGTAGACCAGTTAACCCCTGAAGCGTCTGTTGCTTTATCTGAAATGTGAGCAGATGTCAGCGGTGATGTCCTACCTTGCTGGTAGGAGGCTAAGCTGGCACACTGCATGCATCATTTAATCATTAGACTGCACCATCCTGGGGTAGCTGAGAGCAATTAAGACACTGATAGAAAGTGTTTAGCATGTAGCAGAAAGTCCAGCCCATAGAACGAGCTCTTCAATACCTGGAATGAATGAAAAAGTGAATGGGTGAGTTGGCCCAGAAGCCTACAGGTTGGGGTGAGTGTGGCAGAAGAAGGCACATCTCAGGTATGATGAGAGGACCACAAGTGACCCTCTGTTTCCATGCAGGACGAGACCAATGTTACCCAAGTGCTTGCCTGGGCCCCAGGTAAGTCCTCGTCCGAGCAGCTCCCAGGAACATGGCGGGAGGGAAGGAGAGACCTAGTCTAGTAGTGGTATCAGTCTATGAAAGGTGATAATGCACAGGGCTCCAGCAGGGTGAGGTGTGGATGACGTGACCGTGAGCAAAATATGCTCAGCGTGCATCTCCCTAGCCACAGGGCCCTTTCTACATTTCCTGGTGCAGACCCCACCTGCGAGTCACTGGAGCTGAGAACAGGGCACTGTTAGAAGTCAGAAAGCTCAGTCAGAAAGTTTCCTTCACCTATAAAATGCACACCTGTCCTGCCCTGCTGCTCTCAGGGCTGGTGAGTTGGTGATGATCAAGGGAGCCCTGTCAACTGCCAGCACTGTGCAAGTAAGAGAGTGGTGACACTGGAATCAGACCAGGGCTTTGGGCCCATCCCCAACAACTTGCTGGCCGTGGGCAAGTGGTCATAACTGCCAGGGTCAGTGTCCTCATCTGTGGCAAAATGGAGGGTGAGGCTCTAAGACCCGAGAGAACGCTCAGGTCCTCTGACTCTCGGGTCAAATGCAGGAGACTAGAGACAGGAGATGACCCACTGTAGGCTCCTGCCCTGGTTCTTGGAGTTGGAGCAGAAGAGAGAAAGGAAGAGCAGTCCATGATCAGCATGTCTGGGACCAGTGTCCAGGCAGGAGGTGGGACCCGCAGGCCATGACCCACCTGCTCCCTCTTGCAGGGGTTGCTGTCAGAAGGCCAACACCACCGCCGCCTGCACAGGCAGTCCCAGGGGCCTGGCACGAAGAGCAAGTGATCTCCCCCACTGATGCGCTGGATGCCTTGGGTGTCCCAGGTACCGACAGGCGGCCCTATGGTCTGTGGCCATCCATGCCAGCTCCAAGGCCTCCCTACAGGATGGGTGGTCTCCAGGCTCAGTGTCCTGTCCTCATCTCACAGAGGGGGACCCTGCACAGCACAGGAGCCCTGCCTGGGGCATGGGGAGCTCTTAGGAAGCCAGGAAAGAGAAAGTGAAAGGACCCTGGGGTCTCACACATGCCCACTATACAGAGACATGGGGTGGGGGCCTGGCTGAGAATGGGAGAAGGCTGCTGGGCGTCCTCTGAAGCCCTGTGCCCTGCCTCCTGCACACCCCACTGCCTTCACTGAGCCCCAGTCCACCAAGACCCCTGGTTTTCTGTCTCCATAGACATCGACAGATGTGCTACCAACATCTGCGGCCCCGGCACGTGTGTGAACCTCCCAGATGGATACAGATGTGTCTGCAGCCCCGGCTACCGGCTGCACCCCAGCCAGGCTTACTGTACAGGTATTCACTCTGGGCTCACTCTGTAGCCGCGGCAGTCGAGACTCCAGGCAGAGGAAGGTCCAAGCGGTGCTGTGAGGTTGATGGGTGGAGGCAGGGCACAGACTCTGTGGACAAGCTAACTTAACCTTGGGGGGACCAATCTCTGTGATCGCCAGCCAGAGTCTCCAGGACTTCAGGAGAATGGGAAGCCACCCCACAACTGTGTCCAGCAGCCATTGGTTCTGAGCTAAGCCCGCTCCCCTCAAGCTGGCCTCCTCGCTGCCTGCAGAGGCCTGCTCTTGGGATTAGTACCTCTGCCAGGGCCATCCCTCAGGGGATAGGTCATCAAGTGTGCACCTGATCATGCCCCACCCCCAATATTTCTATACAAGGGAGAAACATCCATATGACCCTAAGGGACATGGCGAGGTAAGGAATACTGGGTAGCCACCCGGAGCCCTGGCTACTTCAGTGGGCCCAATGGGCCAATCTCGTGGCTTACACACTTGTCATCTCCCTGGCCTCCTTTGGCCCCTCATTCCTTCCTTCTCCACAGCACCATCCCTAGTTGGCCCCTAGCATAGGCAGGCTGCTGGCAGGTACCCAAGGAAAGACACTGCTGGCCTCCCTGACCGCTCTCCTTCCCCTTCCCAGATGACAATGAGTGTCTAAGGGACCCGTGTCTGGGAAGAGGGCGCTGTGTCAACCGTGTGGGCTCCTACTCCTGCTTCTGCTACCCTGGCTACATGCTGGCCACCTCGGGGGCCTCGCAGGAATGCCGAGGTAAGCTGAGCCCCTGGGCTGGGCACAAACCCCAGAGGTTAGTGTTGAAGTGGAGCTTGTCACAGTACCCAGCCACCCACTGTGCTGCAGGGTGGGGACCGTGGGAGTCTCGGGACCTGACTTGGGAGAAACCCTGAGGGGTGCAAATGCACAAGGCATCAACATCCATCAAGACTCCAGGGATCGTGGCTGGAGCTGAGTGTGAAGGGGACAGGGGACATGGCCGAGGTGTTGCTTTCAACCTCATCAGTTGAGGGTCGCCCACTGAGGCTCCTGGCAGATGGGGGAGCAGAGCCTTCTTGAGAAGTGGGTGGGTCCTCAGTAGTTTGGAAACTTACGAGGCTTTGTGAACCCTGGTCCAGATGCTGCTAATGCAAACCTTAAATACTGGCATTTATACTGTTCTGCGAAAGGCTCTGGACACAATTTCATGAGTGAGTTCTCAAAGGTCAGTTATGACTCCACACTTCCACCCAGCCCCTATGGTTCATAACCCAGTAGGAATCCGACAGCTGGAGAGCACTGCTATTCTAGGGGTCCACAGTGCTGGTTCAACCGGGACACCCCAGTGGTCACGTACAGGCGCCTCCTAGCAGCTGGTGCCCTCCCTTTGCCAGGGTCCCCTGGGACACTGACCCCCCTCCCCCAAGGAACTGGTCTTCAGAGACCAAAGCCACCCAGGATTATGGGGGATGGAAAAAGAGGTGTGGAACTGCCTCACTTAATGGAAGAGTGACGATTAGTTAATTAATGGGACGAGTGTGTGAGCCTTTCCTTCAGCACCAAAGCACCCATGTGCCAGTGATGTGTCAGCTCTGGCGACTGTGAGATGAGTGAGGTGCTCAGGGAGGCACCAGGGGATCCAAATGAAGAAGCATCTGGCTCTACTGGGGGGTGTGGGGAGCTCTGTGCTGCGGTGGAATAAGGCACCACTGAGTGAGCACTCATGCTGACACCTCCTATGCACGTCACTTTCTGAAGCTTATCACCCCAGTGTGCAGTAGAAGTCCTGATCCTCATTTTATAGTTTAGCAAACTGAGGCTCAGAGGGGTGGATTAAACACCCGGGACCTCACACCTAGCTGTGGCAGAGCTGGAAATAGAATCGAAGTTGTTCTGACCCCAAAGTATAGTCTGCTTCCAACAACACTCCCTTACATGCCTGGTGACGGGACGCAGGCCAGAGGGCACTCCGGAGAAAGCGAACTGTTTCTGCAGAGAGCAGAGCAGTGAACAAGCCTGGCATGCCCTGGGAGGAACGATAAATCCAGTGTGGCTGGAGCACGGGTTACAGAGGAAGTGGCAGGAGCCGAGGCCCGTCTGTGAAGGGTCTGAGAGCCAGGCTGAAGGGCTTGGATACTGTCCCGCAAGCAGAGGGAGCCAGCAGAGGCCTGGGAGCAGAGGGAGGTGATGCGGTCAGCTGGCTTTCAAGGAGATGACCAAGGCTGCAGTACTCAGAATAGCTTGGCATTAGTGAAGGGAGAGGCTGGGGCTGGGGCAGTGGCTTCTCGGGCTTCACAGCCCTGACAGGTGCCTGGGGCACAGAATGTGGCTGCCATTCCCGGCGCAGACAGGGCTTCACCATGCCAGCCTGGATGTCCAGGAGTTCTCCGCCAGTCCCAACAGACAGGAGACGAGAGGCAGGCACAAGGTCAGCTGTCAGGGCTTTCCCAGGGGACCTGGGCGCCACTTAACGAGGCCTTATCCAGGATGACATCTGCTTTCCAAATTTTGCCCGTGAAACAACTCATGATTTTAATCATTATTTTTACTTAGGAATTATGTCACTGATCTATATAATTAAAATAAATCATTACACGTCACAGCACTCAAAATAATGTGTACATTATTAATTCATATAAAATTTTGTGAATATCAAATGTTTAAAATTAATTTGTACTTTACTAATATGTATGGACATCTCTGTGTAATTGTAGGATTTCCTTATCTGGAAATTGCTTGTTCTTGTCTTCTGCTCAGTTTTCCAACAGTATTCTTTTTTATTGCGGTTAACAGTTGGTTTACAACTCCATGTATAACTTGGGGCTGTAGGTTTCACCTCTTCAGACGTAATGTTGGTGGTTTTCCTTACGGCTTCTCATATATTTCAGCTACTTGGCTGGGCTTAGATTTTGTAGCTTCTGTTTTGTCTTCTGTCTGCTAACTTCTACGTGTCCTTTTAACAGAAATTCTTAATTCTGACATACTGAAGTTCACCTTTTTGCCTTATTTTAATGCATTGGGGGCTTTATTTGAGAAGCCCTTTCCCACCCAAGTCACAAAGATATTCACCTACATTTTCATTATAGTTTTGCCTTTCAAGGCAAGTGTTACTCTGCCTTGACGCCCTCATGGTTTTTGTTTTGTTTTGTTTTGTTTTGTTTACCGTATCTATTTCTCTCCATAGAGCAAGTCTGTTTTCCCAGCTTCATCTATCAGTCATCCTGGTCCTACCAGTTTGTGGGTCCATTATCACGGTCCCACAGAAGGCTCTACCTCCTAGTCCCTTTTTCTTTTCCACTGGGATTGGAGTATCTCAAAGTGAGGGCCAGTTACTTCAGAATTGCCTGGGAGTTGCTAGCATGCAGGTCCCTGGGCCAGCCCAGTCCTGCTGGGTCAGAATCCTGGGCTTGAGATTAAAGGTTTAGCAAAAGGGGAGCCCTGAAGAAATGCTAACCAGCATCCATTTTACACCTTCTGCCACTGACTCCATTGTGCTCTAGTTCTATGAAGTTTTTCCATGGAAACACTGTTTACAAGCAGAAGGTTCCTATTCTATCCATTCAAGAAGCACTTTGGGGAGGGGTTTGTTTCTGTGTTGGACCCTGGGGGCTCTTGGACACTAAGACACATTTTCAGCAACGGGGAAATGAGCAGTTACTTTAAGTGTGTGGTCAGAGGCACGTGGGGTCAGCCTAATAGCAGGGATGAGTGGAGGGAGCCCGGCTGTGGGTGGGCAGCCGCTTCAGGCATTGGAACAGCATGTGCAGAAGTGCAAAAGCAGGTCTTGTGTGATGGAGTCCAGGAGTTATGTGGGAGGCAGGAGCCAGCCAAGGTGAGAAAAGTAGACCAGATCATAAAAGATCTCACCTACCAGGCTGAGGAGTTTGGACTTTACAGGCTAGGCAATGCACACATGACATAGTGGTTAACATTTCTTCGGTGCTTCCCTTTTGCAAACCCTTTAATCTGCACAAAGACTGTGAAGTGTTTGAACCAGTACTGGGGGTGAGGGGCAAAGGGGAGCCCGCCAGTAATTCCCTGTGGAGGCAGGGAATGGGCAGTGGTTTGAGTGACCGAGAGTCTCAACATGAACCAGTCCTCGGAGTGGAATTAAGTCTCCCTCTGCTGCCAAGGTGAGCAACGATCCCAAACAGAATCCTTTGTGTGAACAGAGGCTTGGCGGCAGGACAGCGGGTATTAGGAGCTACAAGGCTGGGCCAGGTGGTGAAGCCTTGTGAGCTGCGCCAGGGCAGCGGGGAACTCTGGTAGGGGTTTAAGCGAGGGAGCAGCATGACCAGGGTTGGGGTTTTATGTCGTCGAGGGAACCGGTTTGCTCTGGAACAATGGGATAAGCCACATGGATAGATCCAGTGCGGCCTGGGGTGCTCGCTGGCTGGCTGCTTCATCCCAAACCTTTAAGAAGGCCCCTCAGACCTCCAAGAGCAGACCTTAGGGAGATGTGCCCGCAGCAGGGAGACCATGCCATATGGCCTGCCACCTGGGCCTTGTACTGGCATGAAGAGATTGCTGTGAAGGGCCCCCATGGGCTCCGAAAGTACCCTCCCTTCAGAGAGGACTCAGGGTTTTGCGGACATCCAAGCTGGATCATTCTCAGACTAGGCGCCCTTTGCCGCTTGACCATAGCTGCACCCAGATGCCCTCGCTGCCTGGGCCTCAGCCTGGGCGTCCTTGTCCTCATCCCCGGAGGGCGTAACCCACGGCCCCCTACCAGGCTGGCTGCAGAGTGTGGCTTTCTGTGTGTTCACAGACATAGACGAGTGTGAGCAGCCAGGGGTGTGTGTCGGCGGGCGCTGCACCAACACTGAGGGTTCATACCACTGCGAGTGTGACCAGGGCTACATCATGGTGAGGACGGGACACTGCCAAGGTAAGGAGAGGGTCTCTGGAGGGCAGTCTGATGCCCCACCATCTCTTGGCCCTCCTGTTGCACTATCTACCCCTAACATGCCTTCTAGCTTGTCCTCAATGGGTCCCCCGAAACCTGTCTGGAGTTCTGGAACCCTTCCATCCTCTCAGTGGCATTTGGCATCCCACTTGCCCCTGCAGAAGGTGGGCACAGCTGTGGGCAGCACCCAGGAGCTGTGGGCATCCATCCAGGGAGCCGCTCAGGGCCTCAGCCGCGGACTCCTTGCTAAAGCTTGTTAGGCTGTGAGCTCCTCAGGGCTGGGCCGTGTGCTTAGTGTCGCTCAGTAAGTGCCTATGCTTTGGGCACACCAACGATGCCAGTTGAATGAATGAATAAGACCCAGTTCTTGCCCCAACCCTGCCCCCTTCTCAGGTCCTGCCAAAAAGTGGAGTGACATTGGTAACTGATCTCCAGACTGGTTTGAACCTGCCACTGTCAAGCCAGCTCCTGGATGCTCTGCACTGCCACCTTCCTGCCAGACTGAGCTGTCAAGTGTTTGCAAGAGGCCTGAGTTACATGCTCCCAAGACTGGCCGAGACTAGACTAGATGAGGGTAAACCAGAAACCTGCCTGATGAGGCCCAGAATCTTCCCAGCCGCCAGGTTTCCCCTGACTAGGATTCGCCTGGTTCCAGAGGGTGCTGGAGCTGAAGGATGAGTCTGTGCCCTCTTGCCCAAAGCCGCTGCCACGGAAGCAAAGCCCAGGGTCCGAGAGGTTCTTAGTGGGGGAGCTTCCTGGGTGTAGGACAGATGACATTCTCGCTGAGCCCCAAATGTCACAGCCCCTCTCAACGCTCCCCCGTAGAAGTCAGGCCCACACAAGAGCAAGACCAGAAGCCATTCCTGGTCATCATTAGCATGATGGAAGCAGGCAGCCTGGCAATTTTCAGGATAGTGGAGAGTGAAGGGAGTCAGCATTTGACAGGTGCCTGCTCTGTGCCAGGTGCTGAGCTAGGAACGTCACTGAACAACCTTATGAACTTGACATCAGGACTTGTTGAAAAGAAAAGCAAATCTAAAGGAAATGAACCGAAAATCTATCAGAACATTAAAATGATCAGGCTTATAACAGTGTCAAGGGCACAGGCTGTGGTGAAGACAGGCCTGGGTTTGGCTCTTGTTCGACATCTGAAAAAGGAAACCATAATTCCCATCTCAGAGGCTCTTGTGTGGACTGAACAAGCAACAGCATTCAAAGTACCCATACAGAGGGGGGCAGTATTACGATCTGGGGTTCCTTCTCACATTCAGGCTCGCTCCACGCCCCTGTCCACTCCGTCCATTGTCCCTGCCTTTCCAGAACAAAAGTTCTAGATAGACACACGCCTCAACCCAGAGGCCAGGCTGAGTTCCTGGCCCAGGGCAGACACACTGAGCCTGTCGACAGAAAGACTGATGTGCCCTGAACGCTTCTCCAGATTTCCATCAGCAACCACAGACCCAGCCCATCACTCCGTGAGCCCAGTCAATTTCCTTGCCCTCTTTCTTCTTTCTCCAACTAAGAAACCACTGTCTTCACTTCAACCCAAAGTCTCTGGTGAGAGGCCTTCATGGTCTGGACGACAGCCCACCCAACAGTCTTCATGGTATTTCTGTCGTACCAGGACTGCGGTTCCCACAGAGAGGGGTTGGATGGCCCTGCAGACCACCCAGGCCTTGCTGTCACCCCACCCCAGCCACATCCAAGCTCACCTGAGCTTCTGGCCCCTGGCTGAGCTCCCTCCCTCCCCGGTGGGCTCACAGAGGCAGGTGCCCTTGAATTTCCTCTCACAAGGGCTGAGGCCTGCTTAGAGAGGCTCCCAGATCCGCCCCACCTCCCGCCGGCAAGCTGTTCCCTGGCGACTGTTCCCATGGCTCTTCTGGGACCTCTTCAACAGTCTCCTACCAAGAGAGTATGACATTTTAGTCACATGGTCTTATTCTTCAGTGACAAACAATTTTTGCATTTGAGCAGTGTCCCAGACATGGGCTAGAAATAGGGCAAGACAGACAGCTCCTGCCTCTAATGATCAGGTCAGACCCACCCACCATGATCTTAGGCTAAAATGCAAACCCAAGACTGGGCAGAAAAGTCTGATGCCAATTTAGGTGCCAAAAGGCTGGTGGAACATCAGTATCTGATATTAGAGGCTGTGCCCTTAACTCAGACTGATTAGAAGTGGAATTCTCGTCATTCAGAGTCATTACCTGGCTTCCTTTGATTGGCTTAGCTGATGGCCCCTGACCTCCACTTCCATGAGGAGAGCCCTTTGCCTGGCCCGGGTGGAGACTTAGGACTGCTCAAATCCACCCCCTACCCCTGCCACTTGCTCACGGAATGCTCAGGCATGACCATCACTGGCTGTGTCTCTGGCTGAGGAAGGAAGCCAGTAGTGGTGTACTGGGCTAGATTGTGTTATGCTGCATTAACAAATAGCCCCAATCTTAGTGACTGAGAACACAGCAAGATGTATCTCTGACCAATGTCATATGTCCATCATGGCAGGAGGGGGGCTCTTATCCCATGTTTCCTCCCTCTAGAACCAGGCAAAAGGAATAGCCAGTACCACGAGTGTGGCCATTCTCCATGGCAGAAAGAGCACAGCCTCTCGGTAGCACTCGTCTACTCAGAGCTCCTGGCCAGCACTAGTCCCCTGGCCCCACCTAAGCCCAAGGGCCAAGAGGCACAAGCCCACCATGGCTTGTGGAGAGCTGACATATTTGGTGAGCACCATTCGTGAGTGCCACAAGCCTCCTGAACAGCGAGTGTGCGACTCTGCACCAACACCAGCAGAAACATGCAAGGCATTTGAGGCAGGACACACCTCATGGTTCTTTGCCCCCTTCACACACCTCTGAACCCTGTGGAAGAGGTCCAACACTCCTTTTTCTCTTATTCAGAGTATTAGAGGAGGATCCTTATGTCATTTGCTGCATCCCCTTTCTCTTCATCTCCCGAAGCAGGGATTATACATCATCCCCAATGGCTTTGCCCATCCTCCCTCTGGCACTTCTGCCAAGCCCAGCAGGCTTCTGGCTGCTCTCTGCTGGGTAGCCAAAGTGGGTGGTCCTAGACCCTTCACTGTCTTCCCTGTCTCATGCTCTCCATCTCCATCTTCTCAGAAATGCTTAAACCCATTGGTCCTGGTGTCACCACAATCCAACCAGGGGTTCCTGCTGTCCCCTTTCCTGAGATGAGCCTTACCTCAGTTTCTCCCAGGTTACCTAAGGGTTCTGAGTGTCTCTTTACAGACACAGAGCTGCATGAGCACACCCTGTGGGTACATCTTGCTCTTCTTGTCCCAGGGTGAAGCGTGGGACTCGACAATGGCGTTGGTTGCCGTGGACAGAGGACTTTGATGTGTCCCAGCTTCTCGGGGGAGATTATTCTCACCCTTCGCTTCAGGGCCCATCCTGCTCTGTAATGGCAGCTTCTGGCTTTAGTCCCTTTACAGAAAGCCTGTGTTCTGACCCTCGGCCCTGCCCCTGTATATCCCCCCTGGTGTTGAGTAGGTCTTCTTTGGGGCACAAGGCTTCTAAACCTGTGTAAGGACAATTACCCATTTAGGAAGAGTAAATTCTCCTGTTTCTTCTGGAGTTCGGTCAGTCTGTCTGTCTAGAAGTAAATGGACACCCAGGTGCTGAACCAAGGAACAAGTCTTCCCACAGCTCACTCCTGTGTATGAGCTCTATGATTCAATCCAGGTCCCCAGGCACCTTAAATGGACCCCCAATGGGCCAGGTCACAACAGGAAGCACCCTACCGGGCTCCTGCCCCCTCCCCACACTCTCTCCAGGCCTGGCTGGCCCCATCTTCCCCTATTTGTCTGGTGTGCAAACTCATGCGTGGATGCCATGGACCCCACATGATTTTTGGCTGGAAGAAAGTCTCTCTGGTGCAGAAAACTTGTCAACCTCCACCCTTACTCTGTCAGCATCAGGACCAGTGTGGCCACATCCAGAATTGGGGGTCATCATCAGTCCTCATTTCCTGAGTGCAGTGAAGTCCATTTTGCCCTGAATGCCCACCTCATGATCTCTTCTGAAGCCTCTGGTGACAGTCCCACTGACTGCCCAGTAATTGCCACTTGTAAAGAAACAGCTCACGGGAGAGAGGAGGCTGAGGGGGGTGGGGGAGGGGCTGTTATGGGGAGGGGGGCCCTGAAGGCCCTTCCCAAAGGCCTGGCTCATGAAGTGGAGCTCTCTCAACCCCCCCTCCCCCCAGCTAGAGGGACCGCAGCCTTTGGCACCCACCCGGGGAGGTTCCCTCTCTGATTTTTAAGTTCTTCCAGCTCTGTCTTTTGTCTAGGACAGTGGGTGGGAGGTAGAGTTGGAACACAGGACAATGCTCACTTTTTCCTAGCTTCCATCTGGCAGAAACTGACATCCCTCTCCCAGCCAAGGGCAGGGTCAAGGATTCACCTCCCCACAGACCTGCCCGAGTGCTGTAGTTCCCAGAGGTGACCAAGGGAGGGCTGTGCTTTTGCAGATATCGATGAATGCCGACACCCTGGCACCTGCCCAGAAGGGAGATGCATCAACTCTCCCGGCTCCTACACTTGCCTGGCCTGTGAGGAGGGGTACCGGGGCCAGCGAGGGAGCTGTCTAGGTGAGCTGCTTGCCAAGGCACAGTTGGGGGGCGGGGGGTCAATCTTGCGCCCTTGGGCAGAGCCCACACACAGGGAGGGTAGGAGTGGGAGAAGGAAATAGCAGCGAGGCCGGGCTCCCAGATGACGCTGGGCACAAGAGGGGTGTCTTCTGTTTCCAGGGCTCTGCCCTCTGAATCAGCTAGAAAGGAGGGCCCCTTCGGCTTTTTGGCTGCAGCCATCCAGAAGCTACAGCCTAGAGTGCCAGAAGCTTCTGGGGCTGGATGCTTCTGGGCAAAGAGAGGTGCCAAGTGTCTTAGGCAGAGGGTGGTGGGTGGTGTGAGCCACAGCTGGGTTCCACAGCAGCAGGGTCTAAACAGCGGTGCCTTGATGAACAGTGGGTGTCTTCCCTCCAGAGGGAGCCACATGTCAGCTGTAGGAGGAATGTTCTTTCCCTTCAGCCCCCGTAGGAAGAAGGGCCCAGGGTTCAGAATGCCAGGAGGGACTGGGTTGTGAATAGCTGCTTTGAGGCTCTGGAGAGGGCAGACATTTCCCAGGCCCTGGAGACCCACTCGGCCACCCATAGCTGGCCTGCCTGTATTGCCCACTCACCTATCCGTGCTGGTTGTCGGGCTGGGAACATGGGCCCAGACCCCTTTGGTTGGCAGATAGGGGGCCAGAGGATTTCAGGCCCATTGTGAATCTAGAGCCATGGACACTTCACTGCCGGTTCTGCAGTTGGTCCAAACCAGCTCCAGAGCTGGGCCTTTTGGCCACTTTTCTCGGACACATGCAGGGTGCCTCCTGACCAGGCCGCCCTCCTGGATTTCTCTCCCACAGATGTGAATGAGTGTCTGACCCCCGGGGTCTGTGCCCATGGACAGTGCATCAACCTAGAGGGCTCCTTCAGGTGCTCCTGCAAGCAGGGCTATGAGGTCACCTCAGACGGGAAGGGCTGCCAAGGTAAAGATACTAAAGGACCTCGCAGGCCAGTCAGCTCGCTGCCCTGCCCCCTGCAAACACGCCGAATCACCCAGCACTGCCTCCCTACCCACGCTGTTCTACCACGACCCTGCCCAATGGTCAGCCCTGGCATGTGTGTTCTGTAGAATCTCACACAGAACTCGATGGCCTGTTTCAGATGTCAACGAATGTGCCAGCCGGGCCTCGTGCCCCACGGGGCTCTGCCTCAACACTGAGGGCTCTTTTTCCTGTTCAGCCTGCGAGAGTGGGTACTGGGTGAATGAAGATGGCACTGCCTGTGAAGGTAACCCCGGGGGGCACCAAGAAAGGAGGTCTTCTCACTGCCCCATAGAGCTGTCACAGTCTTGAGGTGATGCTGACAGTCTCCAGGGGAGGCTCTAGGGCCCCTTCCATGAACTTGGCCCCAGGGAGAGCTTCTATGGTCAGAATCCTCAAATTTGGAGATGAGGACAGGAGGAACAGGAAGTCAGAGACAAGAGGGAAGCCGGTGTGAGAGCCGCCCCAGGGCGTCCTGGAGGTGCTAGGGTAGCCCTACTGGAAGGCACACAGCTGGGACTGCCCTTCCCCAGGGAGCAGAAAATGTCCTACAAGGTTAGAGAAGGTCAAAGGCAGGGGCCATCCTTCCCCGTCAGGGGTCCCCAAGTGACCAGCCGACTATCTGCCGCAGACCTAGACGAGTGCGCCTTCCCTGGAGTCTGCCCTTCGGGAGTCTGCACCAACACAGCGGGCTCCTTCTCCTGCAGGGACTGTGAGAAGGGCTACCAGCCCAGCGCCCTGGGCCACACCTGCGAAGGTGAGCACCCCAGCCCAGCCCTGCCCCGTCAGGTGTAGGGAAGGAGCGCAGAGGGCTGCGGGAGACTTACCTGGCACCTTAGAGGAGGGCGAGACCAGGACACATCCACCTCAGATGATGGACAAGCAGGAGCCACCATTTCTCAGCCCACACCCAACTGGAGTCAGAGAGGGTGACCGAGCACGGCCTATGGGCTGACAAGCCGCTGGGTCACAACTTAAGTGTGTCAGTGTCTTCAGCAAAACTTGTTCCACATGCAGTTTCTGGGCCTAGTCCCAGGCCTGTTTGGTCAGCCTCTGTTGGGAGCTGTGGGGTCTGTTTTCTAAATGGCCCTCAAGGGTTCCTCATAAAAGTGGGTGCTGGGACCTCATTTTGAAAAGCACCCGTTTGTACCAAGCAATCTGGGAGGCCAAGTCGGAGAACCTTCTAAGGTTCTTTGCATGCGTCTTTGATTTACTTCCCCTTTGTTTTCCCACTGTGTCTCAGTAAATCCAAGCCGCCTAGTCACATACAGTGGGGCTTGGCCGCACTCTACTAGGGCTGCCGAAGAGGCTGATGTCTCGAAGGTGGGCACTGGAGAGGCCGTCTGAGGCAGGGGCTGCTGCTGCACAAGGCCCAGGGCCCCAGCCTCCTGCCCTGGCCCCCTGCGCCCCTCCCCCCAGTCTAGAAGCCTCCCTCAGCTCTCCCAGCTGTGCGGCTGCAGGGGCAGGACCCACCCAGGGTCAGTCGCGGCCAGCCAGTAGCAGGCCCTCTGGAGACTCCTCGGCTCCTGTCCTCGGGGCTGCATGGGCTGCCTTCCCCTTCTGGGCCCCCGCAGACATAAACGAGTGTGAGGACCTCCAGAGCCGCTGCCTGGGAGGCGAGTGCAGGAACACGGCTGGCTCCTACCAGTGCCTGTGTCCCCGGGGCTTCCAGCTGGCCAACGGCACCGTGTGTGAGGGTGAGTGTCTCCGGTTCCCCCCAACCCCCCGCAGCAAAGCGGGTAGGAGGGGACTGTGTGGGCAAGGTTTGCTGCCTATCTTCTCCCTGCAGATGTGGACGAGTGCAGGGGGGAGGAGTACTGTGCCCCCCGAGGCGAGTGCCTCAACAGCCACGGATCCTTCTTCTGTCTCTGCGCACCGGGTTTTGCCAGCGCAGACATGGGCACCAGCTGCCAGGGTGAGAAGCCAGCAGGGGCCTGTGTACATGCCAGCAGCAGGGCAAGCTGGAGGCTAACGCCTGGAAATGAAACGCTCGCTTCCCCACCCAGGGGTGGGACAGGAAGATGGGAGCTGCGGGTGATGAGAGAGCCAAACGCAGGGAGTCTTTCAGGGGGGCTCGCCATGGTGTCTGCCGTGGACATGAGCCCTGGACTCAGGTCCAGTGTCAAACCTTCTCCCCTAGGCCGAGCCACACTCCAGGCCTCTCCCCTGTGCCTGCTCCCCACTCCGGACGGACGGGCCCTGGGATCTTTCAGCCCTTTCCCACCCTGAGCCACTCCCTGGCCCTCCTAACCACCAATCGGGGCCCAAGGGAAGCTGCCCAGGGCCCTGGGGACCCACAGCTGCATGGCTGACTGACTCCCTCACTCTAGATGTGGACGAGTGTGAAGCCGCAGACCCGTGTCAGGGAGGACGCTGTGTCAACACCGAGGGCTCCTTCAGCTGTGTGTGCAAGACTGGTTTCCAGCTGTCCCCGGAGAGCGGGGAGTGTGTGGGTGAGGGCTTCATGCACTGGAGGGGCTGCCCCATCTCTGTCCCCCCCCCCCACACTTTCCACAGGTTAATCATCCACCGGGTAATGCCTTTATTGAGCCTCTGCTGGCTGGAGACCGCCCAGGCATGACAAAATGAAAAACATCCAAATCCTTGTCTAGCAGAGCACACAATATAGTTTTAAAGCCAAGTTGATTCAAAAGATATTTACTAAACACCCATCAGTCTTACACTGGGATAAATAATCATGAACCATTTTGAAACTGAGCAAGGGAGACCGATAGGAAGATAATGCACTTGGGTGAAGTTTGCCCCTAAAGAGAACTATATGGTGACTCTGCTGGCGGGGAGCGGGCCGGGGAGGGGTGGGGAAGACAGAGGCTCAGAGCCCAGTGCTCTCCTGGCCTAGAGTTCTTCCTCCCAGGCACCTCCCTCCTTGGTCAGGTGGTCCTGAACTGGGGGTTTGGGTAATTTGGATGGACCAAGGACCCCAGAGGTGGTTTGGGAGATGAGATGATGCTGATGAGAGAGGTGGGGGCCAGAGCAGTGACCGCTTCTGTTCTCTCACGGCACCGCCGGGGACAGATATTGATGAGTGTGAGGACTACGGAGATGCCGTGTGCGGGCCCTGGGGGTGTGAGAACAGTCCTGGCTCCTACCGCTGTGTCCGGGGCTGCCAGCCTGGCTTTCACATGACCCCGACTGGAGACTGCATTGGTGAGCAAGGAGGGGGCGGGGAGGGGGGCCATGGTCTAGCTACAAACTTCTCTCCCAAGGGCGTGACTTTTACAGCCATTTGAAGCTCGTGTGTTTTGCAGACAGCGGGGCTAGACAAAAATGTCAGAGAAATGTTAATAGTAGAGTTTTCTTGTTCTGTTTAGAAGTTGCCTTGCACAGAGCTTGGTGTTAACAGACATGTAAACAAGTGTTGACAGAAAATGGAGTGAGCGAGTGCACTTCCACTCTGGCCCCCTGTCCTGCAGACATAGACGAGTGTGCCAATGACACCGTGTGCGGCAGCCACGGCTTCTGTGACAATACGGACGGCTCCTTCCGCTGCCTCTGTGACCAGGGCTTCCAGACCTCACCCTCGGGCTGGGACTGCGTGGGTGAGAAGCCCGTGGGCTGGCCGGGCTCTGAGCCAGGGAGGGGCGGGGCCTAGTCCCATTTGAGCAGATCTTGGGTGTCCTGGATGGACACCTTAGGTCCCTCCTCTTGAAATTCTCCATAATAGGTCCTCACAGAGGGGGCAAGGAGGGGGATTTCACCTCCACCTGCAGAGGCCCCGTGGCCAGGTGGTTAGGCCTTCCCTCTGCCGCAGGAAAGGCAGGCACAGTAATGAGGTGCCACCACAGAGACCCCAGAGTCTCAAGAGACATGCTGGGAGAAAGCCTCTGTCCACTGGCTGACGCCTTTCTGCCACCCTCCTCCTTCCTCCATCCCCACCCTCTCTGTTCATCTGTCCCCACCTCCTGCTAATTCACACCATGTCTGCTCTTCCCCCAAGGCCTGTTTCTTTTGGGGGCTAGTGTAAGGGGCTGCCCCCTGGGCCAGAGTCAGGAACAGGGAGTCTGGCTGCCTCTGTCCCTCCCACGAGCCTGTCCTCACGCCCGCAGATGTGAATGAGTGTGAGCTCATGCTGGCCGTGTGCGGGGCGGCGCTGTGTGAGAACGTGGAGGGCTCCTTCCTGTGCCTGTGTGCCAGCGACCTGGAGGACTATGATGCCCAGGAGGGGCGCTGCCGCCCCAGGGTGTCTGGAGGTGAGTGACCCCGTACCCGACCTGGTCAGGCATGACCACGTGGCTTAGGGAGCCCTTCTGTTGCTCCAGCTCTTGGGTGAGAGCCTGGCTGGGCCTGGGGTAGTGTGGGCAGGGGTGCGGTTTAGGGTTGGAGTGGAGGGGTGACCGGTCTAGCATGCAAATGTCAGAACTAGCACGAGCTTGGTCCAGGCCAGGGAACAGCCAGGTGGCTACAGGGCTGTGAGGACCCCACAGGAGGCTCAGGAAGATCTGATGGCCGCGTGCGGTTGCCCTGTATCTCAGACTGAGTCTCACAGGACCCTCAATCTGCCCTCAGGGAGCCCTGCTTCCCTCCCCAAGTGAGAGGAGACTTCAAGTTGACCTAAGCTCCCTTGCCCACTTTGCACGCCACCGAGAACTGCTAGGTTCAGCCGCTTGCCCCAGACTGGACGAGGACACGGCTGGCTTTCCCTGACTTAGGGGACAGAGAGAGGACCCAGGACAAGGAAGGGCAGGAGGGCCAGGGGCACTATGAAGCAGAGGAGTGAGCAGAAGGCCATCTATATTGTATGCCAGGGACTGGGGGCACCCTGCTATAGCAGTGAAGGCAGAGTGGTCTCCTGGAGAGAGCAGGGGCATTGGCACCAGAGGAGCTGGGCAGACTCCTTGAGGTCTCGCCAATCGGTAGCTGTGTGGCTACAAGTCACCCAGTTTCTCTAAGCACCACCGGGCACATCTGTTCAATGGAATTGATGACAATACCCCGTTCCTAGGGCTGTCAAGAGTATCAGGTGAAATAGCATAGGTGAATGCATTTGTACACGGTGAAGTGTTGCATAAATGTCAACCTTTGAAAATACATTCAGAGGCTGGAGTGTCCCAGAGGGTCATGACCATACCATACGGGGGGCTCTGTCACACACAGGTCAGAGTATCCCCGAGGTCTCGCCTGGGGAGCACCCCCCACGCCCCATCCGCATGGGATGCTATGCTGAGCAGAATGGCCAGCCGCCCTGCTCCAGCCTCCTGGGCCGGAACACCACACAGGCTGAGTGCTGCTGCACCCAGGGAGCCAGCTGGGGAGACGCCTGTGAGCCCTGCCCCGCGGAGGACTCAGGTGAGACCTCCCGAGGAACCCCAGTGCTCAGGTGAGACCCCCAAGGGACCCCAGAGCCCTTCTCCCTCTGAGCTGGGGCGCCTCCCTGCACAGGTGATTTCCGCGCGATCTGCCCTAGCGGTAAAGGCTACATCCCTGTGGAAGGAGCCTGGATGTTTGGACAGACCACCTACACAGGTACCCTCCCTCTCGGCTCTCCCCCACTCCATTCACCTAAGAGGTCCCAGCCCACTAGTCCAAGAGCCCCACCCCGGAGGAGCTCTGTGGGTAGCTCCAGCTTCCCAGTTTGCTTCCATCTTCTGGGCCTGGGCTGACTATCAACAAAAATTTTTTTAAAGATTTATTTATGCGTACAGAACTGGGGTGCAGGTCAGAGGTGCAGGGGAAGTGCAATGATTCACCAGAGACAGAGTGGGGAGCAGAACAGAAAGATTGATGAAGCACACTGCTGAGGGGAGCAGCGGGCAGGTCAGGCAAGGTCTGCCAGGCCATGTGGTCACCTCTGGGGCAGGCGGGGATCGAACTCATGATGAAGTGGCTTCAGCTTCATAGTGCTGTGCTTTAACCCGCTGCGCCACCAGGGAGGGCCCCTATGTACAAATTTTTGTGGTAAGTTCTACCCAAGTGCTCATGGAGGACCCATATAATCCCAACTCTGCTCCACTGCTCCCCCAAGGCTGGGTCCTCCAGGATCAAGTTCTGATGCCTTACCTAACCCACAGTCCCAAGGCACAGGGACAGTGTGGTGAACAGAGGCCAGAAGCAGCTGCCTATCTCCTTGGTCCCACTTGGCAGAGCTAAAAACTTGGGGAGCCCAAACCCAGAGTTCAGGTAGGAGCCCTTCAGCGCCACAGCCCTAGAGCTGGAGAAAGAAAGAACAGAAATGGAAGCAGCTTTCCTTGAGTGCCTGCTCTGTGCCAAGCACTATTTTAAGCATCTTACATGGATTAACCTTGTAATCCTCACAACTGCAAGGCTAAGTAGAAGGAACCACAACCTGAGATAGGAAACTGTGCAGCAGGAGGGGTTAAGCAACATGCCAAAGTCCCAGCAAGTGACAGGGCTGGGACTGGAATCCAGCAAGTTGGCTTTGGAGCCCCAAGTCTTCAGGACCCTCCTGCTGCTTCTCCCTCCCCTCACCTCAGCCCTACCCTCTCACAGATGCAGACGAGTGTGTGATGTTCGGGCCAGGGCTTTGTCAGAACGGCAGGTGTCTGAACACGGTGCCTGGCTACATCTGTCTGTGCAATCCTGGCTACCACTACGATGCCGCCCGCAGGAAGTGTGAGGGTGAGGACACCCCGCCTCCTCCAGCCCCCACCTCACCCCTGCCCCACAGCTGAATGCTCACCCAGCCCTTGCCTGCCCGGGAGTGAGTGAGGGCTCTGCAGCTGTCAGGGATTATGCAGAAGACCTGTTAGACACCCTTGGGGAAGGGCCTCCCAGGCCTGGGCAGGGACCTCTTCACTGGGGTTATAGGATAACCCCCTGGTGCCGCCCTACCCACCACAGATCTTGACGAGTGCCAAGACCTGGCCTGCGAGAACGGCGAGTGCGTGAACACGGAAGGCTCTTTCCACTGCTTCTGCAGCCCGCCCCTCACCCTGGACCTCAGCCAGCAGCGCTGCGTGAACGGCTCCGGCGGCGCAGGTCAGTGGGCCCAGGACAGCAGGGCAGCAGGGCGAGTGGACCCGGGCTGGGGCTCATGTACCGCCGTGCCCTGTGCCACCAGAGGACCTCCCTGACCACGACATCCACATGGACATCTGCTGGGAAAAAGTCACCAACTATGTGTGCAGCCACCCCCTCCACGGGCGCCGCACCACCTACACGGAGTGCTGTTGCCAGGACGGCGAGGCCTGGAGCCAGCAGTGTGCTCTGTGCCCGCCCCGGAGCTCCGGTGAGAGGGGAGGCCGCCGGCCTGCGGGGGGAAGGAGATGCCTGCAGAGCGGGGCTGGGCCAGGGCCGGGGGTGCCCTCATGCTGGGGGGGCGAAGGAGTAGACAAGCAGAGTCATGGCCCTGTTTGCTGGCCCTGTGCTTGGAGCCCCAGTGAGGCAGGGCTGGGGTGGGCAAAGGAGCACTGCCAGGACCTCTCAGAGGTCACCCACCCAGTGCTTGCTCTCGGGGCAGTGAGCTGGAAAATAGCACGCCAGGACTTAGCGGCTGGGAGCTGGGCCCAGCTTCTTTTGTCTCTCCTCCCTGACAGAGGTCTATGCTCAGCTGTGCAATGTAGCCCGGATTGAAGCAGAGCGGGAGGCTGGAGTCCACTTCCGGCCAGGGTATGAGTATGGCCCTGGGCCGGATGACCTGCACTACGGCCTCTACGGCCCAGAAGGAGCCCCCTTCTACAACTACCTAGGCCCTGAGGACACGGTTCCCGAGCCACCCTTCCCAAACACAGCCAGTCACCCAGGGGATCGTATGCCAGTCCCGGAGTCGCCCCTGCAGCCCTCAGAACTCCAGCCTCACTACCTGGCCAGCCATCCAGGTCCGTGTTGCTAGAAAATGGGGAAGAGCTGGGCCCTGAAGCTGTTTCACTGCCATCCCCTCTACCTGCTGGTCCCTGCCAGCAGGGTGAGGACAGGGAAGGGACAACTCACACCAAGCCCTCTCATAGGGCACTCAAGGGACAAGTCCAAATGCCTGGTCAGACCCCAAAATTGCCTGCTGAACTGGGGGGGTGGGGTGGAGGTGGGGGACACCGACAAAAAGCTTTTAACACAATGCCCTACCGCCCACCACAATAAAATCAAAATTGCATGTAGATACTAATGGCTCAGGAGTCCTGGCGCGGGAATCCAAACCTTCTGGGGTGGGGGACCCCTCGTTTAAAGCACAGCACAACTCCCACTAAAATGGCCCATGCTGATTTTTTTTTTGAAAGGATTGCTGCCTTTTGTTTTAGCATCAGTTTTGATCGCTCAGCCTCAGGGGTTCAGTAGAGGCACCCCTTTGCGGCAGGGTAAGGGTTCCAGGGTCCCAGCTTCCTTCTCCGACTCCCTCCCGGCAGAGCACCAGGCCGGTTTTGAAGGGCTTCAGGCAGAAGAGTGCGGCATCCTGAACGGCTGTGAGAACGGCCGCTGTGTGCGCGTGCGCGAGGGCTACACTTGTGACTGCTTTGAGGGCTTCCAGCTGGACATGGCCCACATGGCCTGCGTGGGTAAGTTTGGACTCAGGGTGGCCCAGCCGCGCGGGCTGGCGAAGTCAGACTGGCCCGGAGGGCTGTTCCAGCGAACGCGGGCGAGTAGGAAGAGCCACTGCTGCCCCCTGGTGGGGCTTCCCGGAGCCGGCCCAGGGGTGGGAAACTCCAAAGGCCTACCGTGTTTAGAAAGTCCTTTTCAAACAAAAAAAAAAAGTCCTTTCCATGAAGGGCCTCAGCGTTCCAGAACGGGTGTGGGTACTCTCTGAGCACACGGTCAGCTCATTACCACCTACTCTGTGTCCTGGAGTTGCTGAGACGAGGCAGTCATTTCAGCCTCTGGCTGCCATACCTAGGACTCCACCATGGGGCAGGAAGGAGCCAGGGCTCAGGCCAGAGGTACTTGGGCTGCCCCCACAGCCCTCTTCTCCTTCCCTTTCTTAGACGTGAATGAATGTGATGACCTGAATGGACCTGCTGTACTCTGTGACAGTGGTCACTGTGAGAACACCGAGGGCTCGTACCGCTGCCATTGCCCCCCAGGTTATGAGGCGGCGACGGGCCCCCCACGCTGCATTGCCAAGGAGTAGCAGTGAGGGGTGAGTATGAGCAGCTACCTGGAAACAGGTCTGAGGCACAGGCGGGGGCCTATGGAAGCCTTTCTGGTTGGGAAGACCCTATGAAGATGTCAGGCAGAAGGCCCTGCATCCCAGCTTGCAGCCAGTCTGGCCTGCTCCTCATGTCCCCCAGCACAGGCTCTGGCTGTGAGCTTCTGTCACTGCCCCATGCCACCATGCCCTGCTTGGCTCAAACACCAAATGCTTTAGTGCTTCTGCCACTGGCCATGAGGCCCAGTCCTCCATCTGCCCTGGCCTTGACATGGATGCTCACGTAAGGATGGCTCTCACCCAGCCCTTCAAGCTGTGCAAATGTGCAAGGTCTTTCAGCCTCATACTACAAACACCCTTTCCATCCACGATCCTTATCATCCTGGTGATTAGGCCACTAGGTCAGAGGCTACATCTGTCCTGGGATGATCCTTCTGAATCTATGAAGCAAAAAAGGATTGGCGAAGTTATCGCTACCACTCAGCCAATCTGATCAGGGCCAGATTCTGCCACATCTCCATCCCGCGGCCAATTCCGCTGTCCAAGGAAGGGGTGAGAAGATCCTCCTCATGTCAGAGAAGCAAGACTGATACTAACTTGCTCAGTGTAAGAGATGCAAATAAAGGGGAGCAATGAGCCTGAGAAAGCAGCAAAATATGAAAAAATATGGGGAACTGGTAAGAAAGAGGGAACCAAGGTTTCAGCAAATCTAAAGAAGATAGCCAGTAGCTTGGGTCAATAAAAATCCAACATCCACCCAGCAATAGCTCCTGTACATCACAGCAAGGGGTGCTACCGGACATCTCTGAAGGCCTTGAAGTACTGCTTCTTACAGGAAACAAATCTGTCCTGGACTCTCCTTAGGTGGAAAACAGTTTGATGTGCTAAAAAGAAAAGGGTTATTTTCTAGCTGGTGAAATATGGTGCAGTCTTGTTTAAGAAATCCAGATTTCCAATGTTTTTTCTCCTCTTTATTCTCTCCTTTGTCCTTTTCCCACTCATAAAACGGCTGGCTGATGTCCCTGAGTTTACAAGTAGACACCCTACCTTCAGCGAGCTGGGAGTCTAGAACCATGATGGAATAAAGAAATGTAAATCTGGGCTCTTCTGTTCTGGTTTTTATTTCATATTAAACCAATTTCTTTACCACTTTGGCTAAGTATCACTATTCAAGATGAGGCTGTGACTACCCCTCACCAACCGTGCCTCTTGTCGGGTCCCTGTGGAAAGGGTCCTTTAATCGTCTAAGACCAGGAAAGTTCCACCTTGCAATTCTCTCTTGAATGGCGATATAAAGGAACAAATATCCCAGTGACTAGAGGAATGGAGAGAAATGCTATTTTCTTGGTTTAATTTGTCCTGTCCTGCCTGCTGTTCTATCAGCCACCACGTAATAACTTATTGACTGCTTGCTCTATGACAGGCTGTGTTGTGTGTTGTACATAAATTTCATCTAGCCATCTTTACTGTATTTATTTCCAATTTCTGGATGAGCAAATTGAGACACACAAGGCATAACTAATTATGCTAGTTGAGATGTTTTCAGCAGAGAGAAATTTAAAGTGCTTACACAAGTGAAAATATTGTCATCTTCAGGCATAGTAAAAGAAATGCAAGTCAGTATCCTACAAAGATTTTTTTTGTCAGTTTGGCAAAGACCAAAAATCTGTGAAGACTCCTAGTTGGTGAGAACCTGGGAAAACAGGCACTCTCATGTGGAGCTGGCGGGAGTATAAGCCAATCCAACTTCTGATGGGGATAATACAGCAATGTCTTTCAAAATTGTAAGTAGTCTTTAATATTTTAGAAACTCCACTTTTAGAATTTAACCTTCAGATAAATCCTCACCAAATGTGAAATGACATAGGCAAGGTATTAATATTGTAGCATTATGTGTAATAGCAAAAGATGGTAACTAGTTGCTAAGTCCAGTGAAAGAAAAAAAAAAGGCAGCTCTATAGACTGCCACAGCAAAAAAAGCGGGGGAAGGGAGAGGAGAGGAAGGCTGTACAACGAAGTATAACACATGCTGCTGCCATCGAAAGAAAGGGGAGCGAATTGGACTTCTGATGTGATCCTTACCACTCCACCTTACACCCCCGATTTCTTTTTTGTGCCTTCCTACATGCCCAATGCTCTGCCTTCCAATCCTTACCCTCCTGAGATATTTCATGCATTCACACAAATTCTTGTAAAATAATACTGCATACAATACACACTATCCTGCACTTGGCTTTTTCCCCTTCACACTTGCGCAGTAAGAGCCGTCTCATTCTGTTTAATAACTGTGTGCTGTACCACTAACTGGACAACTCCTAATTTATTGAATCAGTTCCCGATTGATGGACATTGCCATGGTTCCCTACATTTTGCTATCATAATAATGCTGTCATTGTGATTCTTGTGCATGCTGTTTCACATTTACTTGTGGGGTAAGTTTTTAGAAACAACAGTGGCTTGCAGAAGGGTCGCGGGGAGAATGGGTGCGGGATCAGAACACCATGCTTTGTACTGCCCTTTGAACTCTGTACCCTATGTAACACCTATTCAAAAAATAAAATATTTTAAAATACAGTTACTGGCCATAGTCTACTTAAATAATCCCTCTCCTTATCTCTTTATAAATTTATCTGACCATATTTTACAATTAAAATCAAATGAGAACTATTTCAAAACGTCTTAAGGCAGTCTTCCTTTAAGCAGTCCCGTGGCTCTTCTCTTTAGAAAGAATGGCAAGCAGAGACTTCAAAAGAGCAATCATGAATATCAACGCACTTAGGAATTTCCTGCCTATGAGCCAAACTAGCAAAACCGTAATAATACAGCGATGGTGTCGGGTTCTGCCTGTTACCAGCTACATGCTATCAGCTCAGGGCCAGAGTCCCAGGAAGGGCCACATCATACCTTCATGCTGCCCACTTCTCCAACCAAATGTGGACCCCCCACTGGGATGCTATAAAATAAAAGCCCAGAGTGGGCCTAAATTCTCAGAAGATAATCTTCGTGGATACCTCCTTCAGTAATCCTTTTTAATCTTTGACTTCTCAACCTGTTTTCTTCTAATCCCTAATAATCAATCAGTCAACCTTCTCACAGAAGGTATCAAAAACACCTGTGATTTACATACCACCCATCTCCATCAATGGCATAACGGAAGAGTACGAAAACAAAATCTGAAAATATACTCTGGACGTGGACCAAAGAGGCCCCTGCTTTGAGCCAACAACTTAAAAGCTGATTCAAGACTCCCCACCCTCCTGGTTCTCACACTATTATGTTATGCCAAAGCAAAGGTGGGGCATGCCATCCCAGGCACTTACTAGCTTGCATATAAAGAAAACCAACTGTGTAAGAAAAACAGGACCTTGATAATCTCCCTCGCAAAGTTACAGGGAGGCAAAAAAAAAAAAAAACCAACTACTTTCAATTGATATTGGAAGGGTATAAAGTTTCCTTAAGTGTACTTGCACAGTGAGCAAAATTTGTAAAATTGTCTGCTAGCTTTCATGGCCTGCTCTGGTCAGAAAGGCCCTGTTAAGGATTCTACGACTATTTAGCATGCTTATTGTTTACCCCAAGCCAACTGCCCAGTGTCCCCTA